AATACATAGACCTACTTTAATCTTTATCACAACAGGGGCCATAGACAAAGCTAAGATACTAAATTAAAGGAGGGGCAGAGTTATGCACTGTCAGTGAAAGATACAGTGAACTGGGGGAGCCTAGGGAAGTGGATGTGGCAGATTCCTTTCATATCAAGTCAGAAGGGAGCAGCCTGAGCTAAAATAAAGCCTATTTGTTGCTGACCAACAAGGCTATACCTCTGAAATGTGTTGAGTAAGCGGTACCAGCAGCAAACATATAAAGTGGATTTAGCAAGGTAACAGCAAGTTAAATGTAGTTTTGAATTACTTAGAAAGTTTGCAAATAAATATGTGCTGACTACTCTAACAATACTTCACAGAATAATTGTGTCCTTGGATTGTCACACCAACTAACTTTGCCAGCTTCAAATCTCTTTAGTCTTTCCTCCTCCTCATGTCTAAATCTTTTTAATAATTGCCTTATTTAATCCTATAACATGGGAAACCATTTTGATGTCGCATTCTTAATACTTTCCTTCTCCACTCGCAAAGATTTTCAATGTATTCAGCCAAGCTGCAGCTCAGCCTTCTGTTTACTGTACCCAACTGTTTCAACATTGCATATGCACTGTTACTTAGTTCAAATATTGAATAACATTCAACCAACTGGCAACAAACATTCAGAAGTTGTGTATTACAGTTTTGAACCATACTTTGATAGTAGGCATCATAATTTCACCCCTCCAAAATTGTGATCACACTGTAAAAAGAGAACACCATTCACAAGTTCTATTCAGTATGTCCAACCTCTATAAGAAGAGCCAAAGGTTCTTGTGCAGTTTCTAAAATCCCTAACAATGCTCAGAAACACTAAAAGTGAATATGTGCTTCTATTGGATGACCAGTCAGGTCTCTTCAAATGAAAGGTAAAACAGCTCTTATGCAAGACTTACACTGAATCTGGTTTAGATATTTTTGTACAAAGTGGAGAGGCAGAAGCACAGTGACATACAAACATTGTGTAACAGGGTCAATATGCTCTGCTTAAATTACACACAGTTTTAAAGGAGTAACAACCTGCACTGTGAAAAGGAATATGACTATACAGATGAGTGTGGCCTGTTAATTGACTTACTGTAATACGAATACTCCCATTGCAAATTACTGACTAGGTTTATCATCTTTCCGAGCTGCTGGAGTCAAATTGTAGATAAAAGCTTAATTGTGTACAGAGTTTGAAGGACACAAAGCAAGTCCAAAAACAATATTCAATCACCATTTTATCACAGTTTAAATTATGTTGTGTTTCTTGCTTACTGCTTTGCTGGCATAGTGCAAATGTGTTTGTATTAACTTTTACAGTTAGACAAAATGCCAACAAGAACTAAGCCTGCTGTCAATGTGCAAAAGAGGATGTGCCTTACACAACACTTTAATGTCTTTTTCACCTGCAAGGCCAATTCTGTCCACTGCCAAAGTCCTTATCAGGAGACAAACAGTGAACATAATCAGCCATCAAGCTCTGGGCTTAACAGTATCCTCGATATCTTGCGTCATTCCTCACTCAGAGAATGAAGTTGCCCACACATATGCGCTTCAGATCAGATCAATGGCTCTGTGCACATCAGGATGCTGCTGTGCTGTGGGTGCTCAATGGAGGAGCCCACCCACTTGCAGGATATTCAATTGTACACAATCTATCCGCTCTGGTTCAAGCACAACATTTTCACATGGGACTGACAATATTTTCACATGCACCATTGGGAAATGTGTACAGAAATCTATATGTTTATACTACTGTACAGAAGATAAAGACAGTAAAAGTATATCTGGATGACACACAAGCCAAATACAGTAAGCTGTAAATTTGGCTCATATTATAAAAATACAAAGGAAGATAGAGTCTATGCACATAAGTAATAAAGAACGGCTTGACAGTCATGATTCAATATATTGACGTTGACCCTCAACATCTTGGGAGTGGTCCATTGAAACAAAGGTTTCAAAGGTAGTCAGTGTCATTGTGATTCAAAGTTTGATTTAAAGATTCTGGATGGAAACCAAAATGAGCTACCAGTGAGCATGATATTACCATGTTTTGATCAAGCAGTTTTTGTCTCAGGACACAGAATTTTGAATTCCCCATATTTGTGTCCTCTTAATTGCAAAAGTGGATAATTTCATATTTGTTCTATACTTGGCCCTAGTAGACACTATATTGAAGATAAAATGAGGAGAATAAACCTTTTTTTTGGCTATCCTGCTGATTCTCATTCTTAATCTAAAGTAGAAGTGCAGACCTGAAAATGTAATGATCTCTATAAGTATAAAACCAAGGCTGCAATGACATATCTGTGACCGTCTAGCACTATATAGGACAGAACCAGATAATTGACTTCAAGATGAAGAAGTCTACAGAGAAAAAGAGTGCAAATTTTTACCCCTCCTCCAGCATCATTTTAGACACCTCCTGGAGAGATCTGCTCATTAAGACGCAGCAAAACACATATATCAAACAGAGAAAGCTGTCAGGTTCTTACCCTGTGGGATCTGCCGGTAGCAGCAGAGGACTGTGCTAAGCTGTATAAATGTATATTACGGTCCATCCATGTATACTTTTATAGAAGACGTTTTCCCCACAGTGCAGGCCTCTTCTGGACAGGGATTCGCTTATTATGAACTAGATCCTTAAGATGTGACTGGTGATTAGGAAGGTCTTTTGTGGTTATGATATTTTATCATCTGTAATCTCACAACTGTGATTATACACATTCATAAAGATTATATTCACATTATCAGCAGCAATGTGTTTTCTTATTAATGCTATTGCAAAGAGACGTCTTACAGCCCGTATCAGCAGTAAAAGTCATGGCTCGTACTAACTTTTTCATAGTTTTCAGCAAACATACATGTTGAATTCAGTATAGGTTCTTTCACAAAGCTATACTGAATTTACATTTACTGTCAAATTATAAAATATATGTCAAAAAATTGATTAGAACCACAATTGTTATAGCTTTAGGCATAAAAAGCTTCATCAGTGGTGACATGGCTGAGGATAGAATCTGCCAAAACCATGGAAGATATTCCACACCTTGGCTAACTTTAAAAATGCAAACTCATATGAATTGTTAAGATCTTGGATTATACTTTCAACAACCATTTTTCTTTTGCCCTCTTTTGTCATAAAGTTTCTCTTTTGGCATAGGCCAGCTGCCAGTTTAGAGCTGTTGATGCTTTCTTCCCTGAATGGAGGTGGACAGGAGACTGACACTGATGAGGTGAAACTGTCAGAAATTGGACTGTGATTGGTTGTGAGATGTCAGTCTTTAGATCCTGTGGTGTTGACAGTGTGTAAGTGTTTGACTGACTTACCCTATTGTTGTTGATTAAACCTGCCAAGATGAAGGTCCACCAGTGACATGCACAAGCAGCCTGCTCAACACATAAATATGAATGAGTAAGACACTTTATATAACTTTAAAAAGAACAAAGATAGAAACTTAGTGCATTTGGTATAACAAGACAGCTTTAAAATTATTTCAAAAACAATAACAACAAAACAATAAATAATCAAACAAGTAAATAAATTGATAAACATGGAAGTAGCCTACAATAACATCAAGGTGGTCTGCCTTATGGAAGGGTCATTCTAGGCCTGAAGAGAACTTCCTCTGTCCTCAGGCTCCCCAACACTACAAGGAAAATTATAGTTATTGGTGCAGCTATGCCGGTCATCTCTGATTGGCTAAGAGCTACCCCTCAAACCATCTGATACCAGCAGGAAAATAATACACACTACACAAGAGACCATTTTTACCAGATCATACACACTGTAAGGAACCATGTGATTTATAATATAACATAAAACTCTTTATAACTATTAGACCAAAAACTGGATGCCTGTAATATTTGTGGTTGGACAAATGAAGTGGCACATATTACACTATTTTCTGTTTTCTTTGCATGACATCACAAGGTGGAATAGAGCATACTGAGCCTGGGAGATGTAGATAGACTACAGTAACAATGCATCGTTACTCAAACATGTGTGAATGAAACAAAACAAAAAACCCCGGCATGCTTTTGAGGAGGTAAAAGCATTATAATATAGCCTAAAGCTGACAAGAGTCTATTTTTACATAATAGAGGCAATACATCTTAAGATTATATTTACTGGAATAAGCAAAGTAACTATTCCATTTTTTGCTTTTCTTCATCCTATGCCAACATAGGGTGACCAGGGGTCCCTGTTTACCTGGGACAGTCCCAGTTTTGAGCCTTGTGTCCCCTGTCCCAGCAGATTTATACAAAATCAGTGATTTGTCCCAGTTTTACACAAGAAATGTCCCAGGTATCCCTATTTTTGACAAATTTGATGCTTGCCAACAGTAAAGGGAGGCATAAATTGTAATTTGCTTTTGGTAAAATACAGAAAATTGCTTAAAAATGAACAAAACACTAAGAAAATGTGACTATACTGACTCACATGTTAGTTCTGAATGGGCCGAGTGCAGAACAGTTTTCTTTAATTATGCAATTCTTTCACAATTTTATCATTACCAACCACCACAACCCAGGCGTGTCCCAGTTTTTGATTTTGAAAATCTGGTCATCCTATGCCAACAATCGGGGTCAGCCCTATGCTCCCTTATTTCTAAGATTTTTCTCAAAATTAAACTCTAAGTCAAGTAATTTTTATTTTTATTTTTTAGGGTCCTTTGCACCATGACCTCTGCATTACATCTGTAGTCTACTGCTGCTGGATAATAGGTAACTGACTACCAGGCAACCAGATTAGGAGAAATGGGGATATATTTTTATGCAAATTGATGATGAAGTAAATGTGGGGACATACGGCCTAATTTAGGAAAGAAAAAAAAGGCTTGTTGACCCCAAGGCTTATGTTTGGAATAGGATTTAATTTTATGAACAATGAAAAGTACTTCAAGCAAATAAAGAAATGCAGTTGTGCTTTTGTAAGTCCGCCATGATGAGCCCCGTGCAGAGGGAGGTCACACCCAGTACTGATTGGCACAGGTGTGAAGCTGATCGTCAGCCTGCTCTGAACCATGGCACTGTCAGCAGCTTTTACAACTTTCTCTACTGTATGGCTAACGATTTGGTCGCACTGATGGCTTTATGAGTAAAAATGTATCTAAACTTCAACTTCTCATCTTTTCCTGTTGACTCCAATTCATCCACCACATCGGACATTGAGAGATCGCTAGAGCTCACTCACCGCGCCATTAAAGTCTGCGTAATAGTGGCTCTGGGTGTGATGATTACTCTGGGGAATATTGCAGTTCTCCTGGTCATCTCCTCCTCCGTGACCGGGTGGTCAAGAAACTCCCGGTACCTGCTGCTGTCTCTCACCGCTGCAGACTCGGCCTTTGGACTGCTGGTCATGCCCTTGAATCTGTGGGTGAGTCTGGTCAAGGACTATAACGAAGGGCCAGATGCGCTTTGTCACGTGGTGGCCTTTTGCAACGCTACGGTCTACTCTACCTGCATATACACACTGGCAACCATCAGTCTAGAAAGATACGTAGCAGTGTTTTACCCGCTCAAATATTGCGCCATTTTGACCAGAAAAAGGACTTTGCTGCTCATAGCCTTTTCGTGGTGCTTTCCCCCATTTTTGTTACTCCCAATATCTCTGCCAACAGACATTATCCAAGTACACTTTTCTACGGCTTCATTGGTCTGTAACCCCTCGTACTCCACAAATGTGCTTTACTCCCTGAGCCTGACTAGTTTGATCTTTTTCCCTTGTTCTATTATTATGACCTACTGCAACCTGAGAGTGTGGTGCGCAGCCAAAAAACAGAGACTGAAATTGCGCCAATATGACTGTGCTCGCCGCAGCAGGCCCAATGTGGCATCCAGGGTGCTCGTGCCCGTGATGGCAGCATACTACACTTGCTGGACTCCTTGTATAGCCGCTATGATCTACAATGGTATGTAGGCTAATGATACAGTGGGCTACTTTAAGATTGGTTTGTTGTCATCATTATTAGAATAATATTTTGATAAATTATAGGCTACATTTTGATGAAACGTGGGAAGAATGAAAATGAGTAAATTTCAGCTTGCTGTTATTGTTTGATTTTCTCCAGAGAGCAGTAGACATACACATCTAGTTATAAGCTGCAGTCTTCCTTCATTTTATTAGAAAAAAAAAAAAACATGCATTCATGCTCCCATCTCCAGTGTCTCTGATGATGGTAACTATGCTGTTGTCAGGCAGTTGCTACCTGTCCTCATGTCACTCTTGTGTGTCTTGCAGCAGTCTCTGGGAGAAGTGTACCAGAGTGGGCAGAATTTGTTGTGGTGTGGCTGCCAACCTCCAATGGCTTCCTCAACTGTATCTTCTATTTCTGGATAAACCAAAGTTTCCGCAGGAAATTCTACCACATCCTGCAGAAGCTCACCCTGGCCTTATGCCCAAAGATGGCCCATATCTTTGGGTGCTACTCTACTTCCCAGATTCAAATTGTGTCCAACATTTTTGACAATAACAACAGTGTACACGGGCGGTCAGCCAGCGTATCGTCCACAACCACTTTACTGTCCTTGGCATAGGACCTCAGCATCACAAGAGCAACCCTCAGAATTGCAGACAATCTTCCCCTGTGAATTTTCTGCTGTGCTGCCAGACTCTGTAGACCTGATAATGAAATGGTATGGTATGAAATGGTAAGAAATGAACTGCAACACTCAAGTGGCAATGTAATACAAACATGTACAGCTTCAAGCATCATAATTTAATTTTGTTTTATATTTTTATTTAGTTTCAGTCATGGTTTCTGTTCTGTTGAGTGGAACATGTTAACTTTTGTCTGGATTATGTATTAGGGTTTTTGTTTTACTCATGTACATTTGAATACACTGTAAATGGTCTCTTAACTCACCCTTTTAGTTGTTTTATAGTTTGTGACAAACCTATGTAAAGCCACTGTTTTTATATACTTAAATGTGTTTGCAAATATCAGTGTTTCTTACTTTAAAATTCAGATATCAGATATTTATAAATTCATTACCAGGACCAGATATGAAATGTTGACAAACTGGCATTGAGATTAGTAGCACTTTGAAGGATTGTGGCCATCTAGCATGCTGCCAGTTTAAGGCCTTGGCATATCAGCTGAAAGACGTTAACCTTTTAAGTTGTGCTGTTTCATGTACCTAAGGAGAAAAGTAATTAAGCAGTTACACTTTAGAAAGGTCAACACATTTGTGCCAGCTGGAGATAACTCTGGTACCTGCAAGCTGCTTTGGATGTGATTGCAAGATATCCATTATATCCATCCACAAGGTTGGTTTTAATGTAAGTCCTGATTCAAAATAATTGTTGAACAGACAATGGAAAAGCAAGGTAATTTTTATGATGCCATTTTTAGAGATGGAACCAGAGCTGTTGCCCATGACTCACTGCTACATTTTGATGACTCTTGTCAGTTGCACTGTTAAACAAATTACAAAAAATCTTAAATTTTGTATGTTTATGTAAATCTAATGTTTTTGCATAGTTGTGTAAATAAAGTATAATGCCTTTAATGTTACCTGTTAATGCACCATTCTTTTCCTCAACATGTAGTTCTCCCCAGGGACACCAGACATCTAAACTTTAATCTTATGTTTTATTGGCATTAAGATCAGCTGTGATGAAATAGAGACTGTATTGTTAACTACAGGTATTAGTTTTATGTTAGTTATAGGTATAGTTTTTATGTGTTATATAAAAACTTAAATATTGTCAGCATTTTTTAAAAGGTTGTAATTGCTAAGATCTGAGTGCGACTTGGGCTCAGTTACAATTACTCTTTAAAACAAACAAAAAGATTTAGACTTTTGGTATAATTGAAATGTGAAATTGATAAAAACAAAGACAAATTGCTAGAAAATCAAATAAACTGATTTATAAGCCAGATGAATACGCTTGAATCATTTCTACCTGTGAAATCGCATGGTCCCCTGTCTGTTACTGCCACATGTTCTGTCAGACATGTTTTGACATTTTTGCAGTGTCCGTCTCTGAAGACAGTGGAGTGTTGTGCATCAGCAGCCTAGGCTCTGTGCTGATAGAAATAAGTGGTTCGGTTAGAGAAGAAATGGATGCTGCTGGCTACTGGCTTTATGGCTTCAGAAACACCCAGATACAACTTACTTTCTCATAGAACCAATCACTTGGTCCGTTGATTGCTAACATTGCTGTCACTAAAGCATTTACAGGGTTCATGCCATTTTTACTGAATTTGCATACCTGGTTAATACATACAATTTATAATAATCAAAGGTATTTTATCTTTCTTTTAGCGCTTGTCCGTCCAGTGTTTCCAATTATATGACTGAAGTCGAACTATTTACAATGACGGTCAAAATAACATGGTTGCAGTGTCATCTTGTGTTCAGGCTTGAGTATTACACTACATGCTCCTACGTTCTACCGTCTTTTTGCATTTAGTCTTTGTTATTCCCAGTTAGTTATGAATTCAGCTACTGCAATTTATCCTATTTAATACTACATAAAAAGTATGAAACTCCGGTCAGCTAAAAATAAATTAGCGCTGTGTCATAAGTCCTCTGTTGAGACAAATCAACATCACTTTACAGACAAAAAGGTCAAAAACACAGTTAATTAAATTCTGTTTATTCAGAAATGTGATGGCAGGCGAAATGAACATAGCAAAAATAGCAGCATGTTTATGTTCCATAGTGTGGCTCTATACAATAAGGTTTTAAATAACATGTATGGTCTAAAATTTCCAGTCTAAACAAGCAAATGCATGTACAAATATTCTTTCTGGATGAAGTGAACATGGGTATATTCTTAAAAACAATGCATATGTTTAAGTGCACACACAGCTGCCAGGTACTTTCATCCAAACACTAAAGTGAAATATCTGCTGATAATGGATCTAAAAATAAACAAGTCAATCTTAATCACTCAAGAGCAATTATGCCATTCACCAGTGTATTTATAGAACAAGAATAAAAGTTTATCATTTTTAAAATCATATAATTTTTTGCATTTCTCATAAATCTTTAATTATTTTTGAATAATGGCTTTCAATATTAAAGAAAACATTTTTGAAAAGTGAAATGATTTGTGATGATGAATGCTAAATCTATGGAAATCATTCACAAGCAGATACATGTATGAGCAGTAAGAGCAAAGGTAAACAGAGTCAAATGCATAAGTTAAGACTTTTAAGTACCACCCCATATAGTGACATAGACATTTAAAAACACACGGCAACTATTCCAGACCATCCTGCTGTTCCCAATGCTCTTAACAAGACATGAACAAAGAGTTTAAGCCTCTGCTAATTTACCTGCAAATAACAGACGTTCACAAATATTGTGCATTCAGGAAGAGGAGGTTTTGGTCAACATTTCAAGGCCTTCAGATGCAACAAGCAATTTTGAATGCACTTAGCAAACCTCAGGAGGACTTGTGTTCAAATATAAAGTAACGGTACGCCACACCTACAACAGCTGCAGCAACAGCAGATATCAACCAGGTAGACCAAGTGTTGCTACAGAGAAGAGACAAAAAGAAAAGAAAATCATTGATAGACCAGTAACGTAAAACTGTTGTACAATGATACAAGGTTACAATCCCTTACCTGCTTTCTCCTGAATTTGTGACATTAACTTCCTAGAAAATTAAAATACATTACATTTTCCATTTCAGATCCCTCAATTGCAGCATTTGTACAAGTATTACTTATTAGAACATACCTTTGGCTTTTTCCTGTCATCCTGTAAAAAAAAAAAAAAAAAAAAAAAAAAAAGAGTGATTATGACTGTCAATTTAACAGGATACCTATTTGCCTTGAAGTATTACATGCTTAGTCACTGTTTGCCATCTTGTAGTAACATTATTTGTATTCATAGACATTACTGTTCTCATCAAGACTCTGCATTTAATCCATCCTTCCACCAGTGCCTCAGGGTGACTTCTCGGAAGCAATGGGCTACAGTAGAGTGCCTGAGGACCCATCTCCAATTCTTAAACCAGGATCTTGGTTGCTATGACAAAGTCCGTCTCCCTGTCACTAAGGATGTGCACCTCACTTTCCTCCAGTGTGCCGAGCAGGACCACACTCTCCCCCATACACAGAACAAAGCGTGGATGCTGCAGATCACTTCCCAGTACACCTAGTAAGTCCTTTCTCATGCCTTTCACAATTATATTCATTGGAAGAATGTAACAAACACACAAGGAATATTTACCAACATAATAATGTAGCACTGTATGGGGTAATGACCGAGTTATATAATGCTCACGGAAGAGGTTTGAGGCCTAAAAAAAAAGGTCTCTGGCTGATTGCAGTGAGAGGAACAGTAGTACCCTGATACAGCAAGAGAAGAGTGTACACTCATTGTTAGGAGTATGTAACTTTACTTGTAAATATTGCCTTGCGACACTTTTAAATAGCAATGTTTCTTGCTATTATTATTCATATTATCTGATGGCAAAGCTGAAAACTTTAAAATGTCATATAAAAGCTTGATGCCAAATAATGCATTAATGTTTTATAGTGATTTTTTTCCAGACGCTCAAAGTCACATTACAATTGGGGGCATTTTTCATTCACTCCATACCCAGTTGAGGTAAACTACTATTCTGGCCCAGCTCTGCTTAGCTTTTGTGATTCTGAAATCAGGCTTTGACCAGGAGGTATGGCATATCTGTTGCACTTACCGGATGTAGCTCTCCTACATAGTACTGCTCCAGCATCTCCCTGGCATCAGTGGAATGTCCCACATCTTCAAAGCTCTCTGTGGCATCTGCGCCAGCCTGCTCCAGCAAAACCTCCTCACCACCAGGATGCTGCAAACACAAAACAGTTGTATATTTAGAATGACAGTTGACGGAAGTTATTTGTCCCGGTCGGCTTCCATAGGTCATCTCAGGTTATCTCGGTGTCCCCTTGACGCACAATTACAGCTTGCAAATAATCGATCATTTGGAATAAATTACATATAATGTAATACGCACAGTTGTGAACACACTACATACCTCCTCAAGGAAACTTGTAATGTCATATACTTTATCGTGAATAATGAGCCATGTGTCATTGCTCATATTATGCACTCTTATGTCCTCTAACGTATAATACTTGACATCTTCTACTGCACTTTTTTCATTCCCGGGTCCACCGTCTGCGTTTAAAAGTTTGTCGTTGGCTTCTTCTCCCATTTTAACGCAACAAAAAGACTCCGCAGAGAGTGGTTTGAGATGCTAACTATTAGCTTCTCTTAACCTGGCTAGATAACTAGCGCAAACAAGCAACAATTTCGACTATGAGATCCTTGCTTATGAAAAACAATAGCGTACACATAAAGCATGAAAAACAATAAAAGAAACACCAATGTTAATGCCAGTGACAATTACGAAAGCGACGGCTGGTGAGATAGATCCATGAAGCACTAGAAAATCCATAAGCGGCACATCAGCAGACATGTGAAACCAGCCAATGGGCTGCGCTGTAAATGTGCATAGGGCGGGAACTACCACACTAACCAATCAAAACTCACGCTGTGGCCTCACAACCAATCAGAATTGACCACTTGATGCTCGCCAGAGTGGGAGCTTTACCAAGGGTGTTTTTAATAGATAAAACAACCTATTTCAGTGTAGAGATGTTATCACTTTGGTAGGAAAACACTGGATTAAATTTATGTGGCTTGCATTTATAAAATACAAGTTTTTCATTGCTCAAAAGAACCTTGAAAAACATGCATTCTAACTGCGTGCAGGCCAGGGTGACTCTACAAAGATCTGACCAATAACTTCGCCTGATTAAGTCACCTGTTGAAAGGCTGGTGGAACATCCTAGACCAGGGGTGTCAAACTCATTTTGGTCCGGGGGCCGTATCCAACCAACTTTGATCCCAAAGGGGCCGGATCAGAAAACTCATGTCATATAAACCCCAAAAATAACAATAACTTCAAATATTTGTGCAGAGAAACACAAATCTATTACAGAAATCTTTTTTAATTGATGAACTCTTTCTTATTATAATATTATAATATTATGAACCTGAACCTGAAACTTGAAGAAAAATTCAATTTCAACACAATGTTTTAACAATAACTTGTATGTAAACAGGAATAAGTCAATTTTTCTTGGAAAATCCTGCACTTGGCTCCACTTTTCTCATGTTGGACATTTTGTTGATCAGGGTGTCACAGTCAACAGTCAAAACGATCGTCCTTTAAGACCGTTTGGAAAGAGACAAGTATTCATTTGTGCTGCTCTGGTGGGAGGGGCCACGTACAGACACACTGGAGACACTGATATGCTAAGCCCCGCAGAAAATTACCAATATTTTAATAGAAAATATAATTACAATATTTTAGTAGAAAATCACCCAAGGGCCACATTAAAGGTCTTGGAGGGCCGGATCTGGCCCCCGGGCCTTATGTTTGACACCTGTGTCCTAGACAAAGCAATAATATCACTATGGTGACAGATCCCCCTCCTAGAAAAGTTACGCAGAGCACCTTTAAGAGTGCACAAACATGGGCTAGGCCTACCTAGGCTATAGGCTAAAATGTGGACTTGCTGATAAGAGCATGGCTTAAGAGGTTGTGCATGCTGTTGATAACTTATGGATTCCATGGAATCAGGCCTACATAAGAAGATTGGGGTTTTGTTGCACATAGCCTGTGACTTTTGTATCAGTTATAGAAATATATTTGAGAGTCTGAGACCTGCTTGTCTCCATGGACCCTAGAGTATGTCATTAAACTTCTATCTTACTTCTATCTTAAATTTATCTATATGGACACAAGCACGTGGCTCCATAGGCCAAATTACAGGTCACATTTATGGAGAGGTGTCCCTGCTCAGAAAGAATGTGTGTTTTTTCTTAATATTTTTGAGCAATAAAAACATGTGTAAATGAATGGTAGATAGATAAATAAAAAAGCCACATAATGGAACATGCCCTACTGTGGAACATTCCTAGCAAAGCAACATCTCCATAGAGGCCCTCTACCCAAATTTAGAGAATGCAAATTAAATTGTATTTTCAGTGTTGTCAGTGTGTCAGTTCAATCTTTTACCCATTTTAAAGGAATTTGTTGTTGTTAATCAGATTAGAACCGTACATAATCTCAAACCACCTTTTCTGCATATTTTAAATTAATTAGGCCAAAATGTTGTTTTACTATTCAAGGCTCAAAGACATTACTGTGCTTTCACTCAGATGTCTCTGTTTTATTGTTTGACATTTCAAAGTAGTAGCTTTATATTGAACCATTAAAACCATACATTTCTGAAAAGAGTTTAAAAGTTTTGTTTGTTTGTTTATGTTTTTTTTGTACATAGTACTGTAAACGCTAAGTTTATTCAAAATATAGCGCGTCCTGAGCGAGTCTTATTAAAGTCTGGCCAAGGCTGAATGTAAGAGTTATGTGCACAAGGGGGCAGTAATGTGTCTATAATCAGAATGACGTCAAACGTTTACGTAGCCGAAGAAGAGGAGGAATTGTGGGATTGATATGGCAGCCTCCGCTGCTGTAAACATTCGCGTTGTTCTTACGAAATATTTTTTTGATTGCTACTGATTTTCTGTTTTTTAAATCTCTGATATTTAATTGTACTATTAAGCGTGGGCTGACGTGAAGACCTGATTTTTATTTTTTTTTAACATAGCGGAAAGCTTTCTTTGGTTGTTGGACCTACAGTCACGGGTTCGTGTTAGTATCTCATGTTTATTATGACGATTATGATATGATTTTTTTTGTTTTTGTTTTGTTATTTTATATTTGAAATTATTTACATTTATTACAGATTCATTACGATGTTCTAATTTGTAGCTCTGTATGGTTTGGTTGATTTCATGACAAAAAACTCGAATAAGCCACTAAACTAAATTAATTAAACTAATAATCCAAATTTTAATAGCTAAACCCTATGAAAAATACAGTTGCGTTGCCGTTAATCCAATTTAGTAATCATCAATGGTAATCTCTGGCCCTTTTAATCGCGAGATCCTCAGCCAGTTCTGTCAGAAGCGGCATGTGATTTGGAGCAGAATTCAGACTTTGGAGGAAGAAATGTTTTACATTTATGTATAGCAGGTTTATTATGTTCAGGAAAATGAATGTAGAAAGCTATTTTATCGGTTTTCAAAGTTTCAGACTAATAAAAACTGAAAATTTTGATCGATATTAGTAAAAAATAAATATTGTCATATAACTGTCATATCACCCAGCCCTATTAATTGTGTGTTGTCATTGTCACTTGATTTGTGATCCACAGACCATGGACGAGGATGTGTCCATGCACAGACTTGCTGGGTCTGACCCGTCTGCTCAGGTTGGGGGACTGATCGTAAAGAAGAAGAGCGCTGCTGCAGAGGCTCATATTTTTCGGGCACCCACTCCACGGACATCCTTACTGGGCTTGGACCTTTTAGCTGCTCAGAAAAGGAAAGAGCGAGATTTAAAAGAAAAGGCTGATGGTTCTGATGAAGAGCGAAACTTAAAGAAATCAAAAGTTTCATCCTACAAAGACTGGGATGAGGGAAAAAGTGATTCTGGTTCAGACGAGGAGGATGATGACAAAAATAAAGACACCAAGAAAGAAAGGTAAAGAAATATTGTATGGGAAATGTTAGATTTCTTAAAGCATCTATACAGTATGATTCATATTCTAAAGCCACATTTGATCTGTGATTGGTTTATTCACACTTGTACTTATGTTTGCAATTTGTGAGTGGCTTACAACTTATGTTTGTGGCTTGATTTCATTTATAGCAGAAAGTATCGTGTTACTGGTTCTGAAACACCATCCAACCCTGGAGGAGTCAGTGAGGAGTTCCTCCGCAGACATGAGCAGAGAGAGAAAGACCGTCGGGAACATGGAGTCTATGCCTCATCAAAAGAGGACAGAAAACGGGAGAAAGACAGGGAGCGAAGTAGAGACAAACACCGGGACAGGCGCAGTGAACGAGGTGTGTGCGTGTGGGAACAGGTCAAACTTCATTAATATAGATTTTTTTTTTCCATATGTTTTATATTTTGTGTATATTTTATTCTGTATTCAGTTATTCTTGTTTTGTTTGTCATTTTTAGATGACAGAGAAAGCAGCAGGGGTCGGTCGGAGCGTGGAGACCGCAGTGACAGAAGTGACCGCTCCCAGAGAGATGGTTGGTCAGAGCGAATCAGCCGCGGCAGCAGGAGAGATGAGCCAATGACTCCACAGTTTCACTCCAGGGGTAGGCTGGTGTTTTTTGTTTTTATTTTTTTTCCAGTTTTCTTGTACATACGCAAGTTCTTAACACAACAACATAAACTTCAATATTTGAAAACAGACACACCTTCCAGATCCAATTGGGAGGAGGATGACAGTGGTTATCCCAGCAGTCGACATTCCCAATGGGAGTCTCCCTCTCCTGCTCCTTCACACCGAGAGTCGGACCGCTCTGAGAGAAGCCATAGATCTGGCAGAGAGAGTGAGCGGAGGGACAGGTAAACATCTGTGATAAGTTGCTTGAACATAATGAACTGTTAGGTTAGTTTAGACTATGCGTAGGCTCTACACTGTTTTTGTCAGACTGGTGATAAATTATACAATTTACATATTTAAATTAGAGGGTCACTCTTGAGATTAATGTTTACTTAGAAACTTTGCAAACCCTGTGTTTAGAAACCCTGTCTGGTTTATATATAGGTCAGTCAAAGGTCGTTACCCTGATGACACACCTCTCCCAACCCCTTCATACAAGTACAATGAATGGGCCAATGACAGAAGGCATTTTGGTTCAACTCCCCGTTTATCACAAGGAAAAGGTACAAAGTGGTTATAATTTTTATTTATTTATATATTTTTTGGTGTGTGCATAGGTTGCTTACTTTATTGCACCAATGTCTATAGGTAAAAAAGGAGATGGCGCAAGTGGAATTGCATTTGATAATGACGATGAACAAGAACAGTGGGAGGAAGATCAGAAGGTAGGAGTCCTCCTTTCTCATTATACACAGAAATAAAATTATGGTCAGTAACCCATAATAATTTCTACTTAACAATTTTGTTTCTATGTAATATTCTGCAGCAAGCAGATAGAGATTGGTACATGATGGATGAAGGATATGATGAATTCCACAACCCTTTCACATCCACATCAGATGAATATGTAAAGAAAAGAGAACAAATTCTTCAGAAGCAGACCCAGAAAAGGATATCTGCCCAAAAGCGACAGATCAATGAGGTAATATAATAATTGTTGCCTATTAGCAGTTTGTGGAATTGGATATACATTATACATATGACTTATTTCAGGATAATGAACGATGGGAGACCAACCGTATGCTGACCAGTGGTGTTGTTCAAAGGCTGGAAGTTGATGAAGATTTTGAGGAGGATAATGCTGCCAAGGTTCACTTACAAGTGCACAACTTGGTTCCTCCTTTCTTAGATGGAAGAATAGTCTTCACCAAACAGGTAAGAGCATA